ATGGAATTGATGACCACCCTGTATTCCACCCACAGCCCAAGGACATGGAGTTCTTCCACACCACCTGTGTGAAGTGACCAGTGTTCACTGGGAAGCCTGGCTTGCCCCAGTTGTATTTTGTTCGCTCAGACCCCCACATGTTGACCAAGGCGCCCCAGTTTGTGAAGCCAGTGCTTCCGACGAGGTTCTCGCCTGCACTCTGTAGGAAGTAGTTAGTATATTTTAGATTTTGTGATGAGGGGCATGCAGGGGAGATGACCCCGGGAAAGAAAAGTACATCGTGTGACCAATTACATGTATTAGCCCAGTTTTGGGCCTTCTGCGCAAGATATTTGTTCCAAACCAGCGGCCTAGCGCCATGTTGATCACGGAAGAAGTTATGTGCAGCCATCATTTCTCCCTTAAAGTCATCGCTATTTCGACCCTCCACCTCTGCTATGGAGGCTGCGGCCATGCCCGTTATACTGAGAAAACAAAGGGCGTCGAACAAAAGCATTTCCGCATATCAATCAGAATAAGTTCAATTTATGCTCACATTTTACGGGGAAAGGAACCCTCGCAAAGACAGTTACAAGCATGTGTTATTTCCGACTCGTAGTCAAACCTGAATAGTTCAAGACTTAAATTAGGCTTGTAACTAAGTGTTCTTCCCGAACGAGCTTGGTAATCTCCGAAAATTTCGAACAATTTCACGGCCTTTTTTATTTAAATATTTCAGACTCCTTTTAATAATTTTCACATCGGGGACGTGGCTAATAAGAACCTGAATTCCACATCCTGCACAAGTGTATGTACGAGTGTATGTACGAGTGACATGCAATATGATATGCAGGCAGAGAAGTATGTATAACCAATAACAGATTTCATTCAAACTAAGCCTACAATAACCACAAATATCCAGACTCACCGAAGGACGAAACGAGCAAGCCTCGTCTCAACTGATCAACAAGTAACGTGGGACAACCCGTCCGGGGTCTGGTCAGCCCGGGGTCGAGATTGTTAACTCTCCGCGCAGGTCAACAAATCAACCTGATGGAATAATGATAATTGTACTATAATGACGACGAGAATTCGAGAAATAATTCCCATGCTCGCCTTCGTAACTGAAGTGGTCCGGTAGCTATCAGTACTGCTCAACACCAGATTTCTGCAGCGATTTTGGTCCCAACAGTAGAAGCCTTGGGGTGTTACAATTGGTTGGTCCCAACAGTAGAAGCTATCACGGGGCGAATCTAAGGTGCTAGTAGTAACGTAGTTGTGCCTTAAGGAGGAGGGAAGAGGAAGCTATCTAGACTACAGCTTTATGGTGCGCTAATGGTCTGTGCTCATGTGAGTGTCTTAGACAAGTCGTGATGGTGCTGTGACAGAAGCCTTGGGGTGTTACAATTGACTGCCAAGGACTAAAATATCTGAACCTTGCTACGAATCCCCTTCAATAGTAAGACTTGCGGCCTCATGTCCAGACTTTGTATGCTCACCAACTGCCAGGTTCGTCACCAATGGCACCAAGGCATTTCTGTGCACACCTCCAACAGCATGAACATGGGGAGAAAAAGGCATACACCCCCAGGCACACCCGTATCCCCAGCAGCCACCAAGTAAGTCATCATTGTTTCCTGGCCATAAGTGACCTCACACCGCTTCCCGACTAGCAGATAGCCTGGCATCACAACCAACCACCCCACCGAGGCCATCCCAGCACCTGGGACCTCACCCGCTCGGTAGTGTTCAACTAGTGAGTCCTCCTCTCTAACACCCTCGAAATATTTATATTTGACCAGTAGAAGCGACAGCCGGCGAAAGTCCTGCACTTTATATGTGTCAGTCCGATATGCGCAATACTTCAGACAACTCGAGGAACCCTCGCGCACTCTTGTCATCGCTGAATATTACTCAGGCAATCGCTATCCATGGCGCTCACAAATACCACCATTCTCCTAGTCAACGCGTATTTCATTTTTAGTTATATTGCAATAATTATCCGCCGTCTTTCTTCCACCCCCTGGCCGGTTTCCCGGGCCCCAAATTCGCCGCAGCTACTAGCTGGTATGCGTTCTACTACGACGCAGTCAAGGGTGGGCAGTTTTATAGGGAGATGAAGCGCATGCATGATAAATATGGTAAATATTTGAAATATCTCTTCATTTCATACCGATTTTTGATTGAAATGGGTCCATAATATCTCTTTCATTCCGATTTTTGATTGAAATGGGTCCCCAAAAGTGACCTGGAGGAAAAGAGATAGCTTTGGTCGCATTTGCACTCTCAACAATGCAACTGATCCGCCCCCAACGTAGGCCCTATAGTCCGCATCAACCCCAAAGAAGTTCACATCCTCGATGCAAGTTTCTACGACGAAATCTACGCGCCGGCCTCAAAGAGGCGTGACAAGTACGACCAGTGGGTTGTCTTCCCCGATGTTCCCACCGGGGCTTTCGCTACGTGCCCGCATGAGCACCACCACATTCGACGGCAGGCTTTAAACTTATCGTTCTCGAAGAAGGTAATCTACGAAATCGAGAATCTATTAGTGAACAAAGCGAGACGTCTATGCAGTCGTTTCGAAAAGATGGCCCAAACCGGGGAAGAAGTGCGTATCGATGCCGCCTTTTTTGCTCTTGCAAATGACATTATCACCCAGTACACGTTTGGCGAGTGCTACGACTGCCTCACAGAAGACGACTTCCGGAAGGATTTCAAGCGGATACTTTTAAGTGCTGTCGAAACCGGTGCCTTTGTTCGACAATTCCCCTGGTTGGTTGGCTTTGTGCGGCGCATCCCGTTCTGGGTATTGGGGAGGATCAGCAGAGGTTTCGCCACCATTCTGAACTGGGAGAGCATTGTGCGCAGGAGAGTTGAGACTTGGATGGCGACGTCAAAAACGGAGAATCAGACCGAGGTTACGTCAGTCTTTTCGAGATTGCTAACCAGTGACTTGCCTGACAGCGAGAAATCCTTTCAGCGGCTGGTTGACGAGGGCAAATCGCTCACGGGTGAGGGGAGCGAGACAATATCATGGACGTTGACACTACTCATCTGGTACGTGACGCAGGACAAGGAAATTCTTGAAAACTTGAGACAGGATCTCAACGACATGCCTCGTGGTGGTTCAAGACCTTCCCTGCTCAGTTGGATAGACAAGCGAGCATATCTAGTAAGTTACGCAGAACACGACATGTTTGCACAGGTTCCACGCGCTGACAGAAAGTTGTGAAGGATGCAGCGGTCACTGAAGCATTGAGGCTTAATTATGACGCCCTCGGCCGCTTAACCCGTGTTGCCCAAGAGCCGATTCAATATGGTGACAGGGTGATTCCTCCCGGCGTGAGTGCTGCTCAGCGTTGAGCAAGCGACCAAACATGCTTGGCAAGCTGATGAGAATACAGACTCCTCTCAGTTCGACCAACTACTTCGTCCATACGGACGGAACGATATTCCCCGACCCCTCGAAGTTTTCGCCTGATCGTTGGCTTGGAGGGCCAAGTCCTCTTAGAAAGCATATGGTGTCGTTCTCTCGGGGGACTCGGCGATGTGTGGGTCAAAAGTGAGCAATCTCCCATCCCGACCACATATAACACAATTACACCCGAATACGCGCTAAGAAGATACCCAGTCTTGCCCTTGCAGAACTGAAGCTGGCCGCAGCACGGCTGGTCACTCGATATGACTTTAAATTTGTCAGTACCGATATGGACATATTGCCAGCCCGTGACTGCTTCATACCTCAACCTTACGTTGGTACCGGCGGCGTACGAGCCAAAATCCTTAAATTGTAGCTCTGTATTGTATAGTATCACTATCACCCCAATCTAGCCAGAAACAGAGTCTGCAGTCATGCAGTCGAATCACGTTATCAAAGACCAAGCTTGAGGTTCAAACAGTCCACCAAAGTGATTAACTCCCTGTGATGTATACAATTGAAAATGTTGGATCATATCATGGTCAGGTGGTCTATCGTCAGCGTTGTCCTTGTGCTACGGAGTACGATCATGCAGCATGGAGTCGGTGGATGTCGCGTTTTGCTATATAATAGCAATTAGTTACTTACATACCACACTTTACCGTAGGGGACTTGGCGCCAATTGCAACAGGTCTTCCTTTAGTACAGTACATGCCGTTATAAAACAATAATAGGGTCTAAAGGTCAAATTTCGCTCATTCACTTGCACTTACAGCTGTCCACGGCACTTCAAAGACCTTCATCTGAATCTCATCTCCGCAGGTGTGAATCTTTGGCTGAATCAACAAGATCAAGATCCCAATATTCCTTTCTGATGATGGCCTAGTGCCATTCATAAATCCCCAGGTAAATTCAAGAGGTTCTGGCGGCTCCCAGGACCAAAATTCCATTACCTGGACACACCTGCCCCTCTAGACTCCAAATTCTCTTGCCACGATTCAGCAGCGACATCATGAGGACTAGTACCTTGTCTACGAATGATAGTCACCCTGCAAGACGGTCAGAAGGTCAGAAGATCAGGTTTCAGTCACAGCTACCCAGAATCCCATGTACATGATCTGTACTTACCTTGAAATGTGCATATTCAATCGTTTGGTTATAAATACAAACCAGTCCTCAGCGTGCGACCATAGTACTCGACATTCTTCCACGCTCTTACGTGGAATCCACCACGACCCATCCCGTTGCACATCGTCAAACAAGTCGCTATAGTCCGCTCTCGATGCGGAAAACGCCTGCTCCATGAAAGTCTGTCTCCGATCGTTCTCTTCATCAGCTTTGGACAGCTATAGTTGGCCAAATACGACACGTAAAAAAGTCCCTTCCTCTGCATCTATGAGGAAAGCGCCCATCACCCTCTCTCGCGCAATACAAACAGTGCCAACCGTTATGTTGCAAACGGGAGCCAGATCAATACCCGTCATGTAGAGAACACAAAACCTGGAAACCAGACCTCTCCGCCAAACGAAGCGGTTTCGAGGCCCAGCAGATGGATGTTATGAGCAACTTGAGGTTGAATGCTTCAGAACTGTTACGGAGGGCATTGAAATTATTCGCGAAGCTCTTACGGTAACGAGCCTAAACCAAACCGTGATATCATCTGATAGCTGCCACGGTGGTTATTTAGTAAACCGCCCAGCCATCGCCATATGTTGCTATGTACATTGTTTTGTGGGCATCAAATCTGAAGCCATGATACATATGTCACATTATGAGATTCATTGTTAACTAAGCTTGTTCATAAAATCATTATTCTTGTTGTTCCTGGTGCTGCAGACTCCGTCTGCAGCTCTCTTTTTAATACCAAAAAAACTTCCTTTCGTCCGAATTTAACTTTCGGCTAAGTTTAGTCATGATAGCCGACGCTGTGACATCCAGCAATTACACCAAGCTCTGCGACTTCAGTCTACAGAGGCATTATCCGACAACATAACACTCGAATGTCGAGCAAACCAAATTATTTTGTGGGGCTCTTTGAAATTGTCAAGTCACCGAACCGGTCAAAGTAGTCCTCAGATTTATGAGGTGGAGGGGGAAGCTTGAAATGAAACACGGAGTCACCAAACAGGCCGGTGACTAGTGGCATAATATTTTGTGGGGCTTCTTGGTCTTTTCGGTAACGACCGTGGCTGGTTCCAAAAGTACCTTCCTGATTGCTCCATAAACTGGCAAAATATCTTGTGAGAACCGTGACCAATGCTGGCCACGTCTTGAATGGCGCACGAACTATCTCCTGAAAGGATTCCAGCATGTGATTCACCGACGTTATCATAATTTTGCTGGCGTAAGCACCGACCTAGTGCAGCTGAGAGTCTAACCCATGCAGTACGAAGACTACACGACGTACGCGAACGACGGGAGGAATCATGTGTCAAACCACCTTCTAAGGCTAAGGGTATCTTCGGGATCCGGAGATCACAATGAGTCTGTGGTTCCCAATCGCTTTCCTATTCAATTTTGATTCGATCAAGTCGAGCCTCGGTCAACCCGCTTAGCTACCCTATACCTGGAATTTTCATCGCCTGCGAACTGCCTTCACCACATATACAATGGTTCCCGTAAGACAAAGATGCGACAGAGATGATGAAGAGACTATATTTCACGCTACGCGATGAATCCCAGACATGATCCGCCGAGACTCTGGCGTTCAAATCGACATTAATACAGCCAGAGGTCGCTCAAGCACTTGCAAGACGACACTAAGACGGTCCTCTAAACAATCTAATTCGGCTGCCGGCCCCAATCGAGTCACCGTGGATTCAAATTTGCATTTTCACATCAGTGGCTACCAAGAACAAGAAAAAATGGCTTCAAGCAGTACTATTAACGCACGGGCGATGAGATACACGGGCAATGCCTACAACTGCTTGAAATCCAGTGGTCTGCGCCCCTCTGTTGCCGACAGCTGCCACGAGGACATCGATGGCCAAGAAGCCTTCAGCAGCCGCAACTGGGGCAAGAGAGAAAAGACAGTTCACGACCCTCGGATAAGTCCTGAACTTGGCCGCAGAGTTGGGAGATACCCATTCACGTCTCCACTCGCGAGCTGGGTCGTTGATGCCTTCATCAATTATCAGCCTTCCGAAGCCGCCACTGACCTCGTGAGGCGGTTCTCTGCAGAGCTCCACGAAGCCTTTGGAAAAGAGAGAATGCAAAGCAATGGGCTCCACAACCTCATTCTCACCGAAGTGATTTACCAAATCACCCTGGAAGTTGGTGGCGAGATCTTGCTTGCCGCAGACAAGAGTCCCAGTTGTGTCGACGTTCGTGACGAGTATCACTCTTCGCACGTTGCTGGAGACGACCATTTTGTACCTTGGGGCAAACTGCTCACCGGGCTTGACTGCGACCCGCCAATCATCTCCCAGTTTCCGTTCTATCTTATGATGTGCCAATCGTTTGGCCTCGAAAGAGAGTCGTCTCGGGGAACTATGTCTACTCTGCTCTGACTGGAGTCGACTGGGCAAAGGGCAAGAATGCCTACAGCGATCGATTCAAAAAGTTTGAAAAGCTTGCGCGAAAGGCTGTTGTCGATCTGGATGGCAAGTTTTCCGGGCAGGACCGATCGTTCTGGCGCTTCTCCCTTGCGTACTTCAGTGCCATGGACCAGGCGGAGACCTCCAAAGAATTTACTACTCCGCAGGCGTCGCATATCAGAACTGATTTGGATCCTTACCTCCTCATGGCCGTTCGTGGGTTCGATACTATCGGGTCTGCCTACATGTGCAGTGATGGCGCTGCCTTTTTCGACAAAGAAGGCATGGACTCCCTCATTGGGTCGGCTGTCCCGAACGATGTTATGGATCTTCACACGGACATTTTGACCGGTGAGACTCGTAACTTGCTCCGTTTATTGTATCCAAACAGCTGGTCAATAGAGAAATCGGTAAAGACCATGTCCACCGTGTTTTCTGGCATGCTGTGTGAGCTGTTCCGCGGTCACAAGCGCGCTAGGCTAGAAAACCGCGAGGACGGTCGCATTGCCGCAACATCCCCCGCCTACAGTTTCTGTCGGGCTCGACATCGCCGTATCTTTGAAATCATAGAGGCATACACCGACAAATATCCCGAGTTCTGGGACTGGACTCGAGAGACTTACCGGCTTGCCAAGGAGCAAATGACCAAGGCTGGCCTCAATGAACTGCCCATTCAAGCTCTCTACAGAGCTCTCAATCAGGATTCGCTTCCTGAGTCTCCCCACAATGAATTCTACGACGGATACTTCGACATGATCGAGAAAAGTCTTGATGGAATCGACCAAAGTGAGAACCGTGAGCAGGTCAAGAGGGCCCTGGGTGTTCAGAACAAGCTCGGGGAACTAGTATGTGACATCGACAACTTGTGGAACGTTCAGCTGCTCGAACATGACAAGACGTCTGGATGGGGCCGTGAGTTTGATGAGAAATCAGATGATCTTTTCAGGCAGGTGGGCGAACTTCTCTGTACCAGTAGCCGCGCCGACACTAGCACCGGATGGCGTATCCCTAAGGAGGTGTACAGGTTCGCTATCGCGTATGGGCGTCTGAGCATGAGTCTGTCGTACATTGCCTATCACACCATTGTTGCCATCATTCTGACATATGGAGTCGTTTCCACCCGCTGAGGCCTTAAACGGAGTGCCACATGCGTATGCGGTCAGTTTATGTAGGAGCTAGATACTAATAATTGGGTTAAAAAATGCATCTAACTAGTGCTCAGTTGCATTCCATATAATGAGGGGGTTCAGTACATAGTGCGAGTATTAAATGCTATGTGGGCATATGCTGCCGAAGCTCTCAATGAGTCAGGTGACGGCCAGCGATTTTTTTTTTTTTTTTTGTGACTAAAGTGAGTAATAAAGGTCCCGAGAAGTCCTGCGCACCGAAACCTGACCAAAATACATCTCACGGACGCGTGTACCGATGGCAGCTGTTACAAAGCCATAGACTATGACAGGTGCTGAGAAGTAGTGTGTCCTACCGCATTGTGGCAGCGCTTCATTGCAATTGGGGACAGCCTGGTTGGAAAGCTTTTTTCGCGCCTTTGTTATGTTCTTGTTATAACGTAACGAATT